AACAAAGCCTAATATTAACGAGTTGGGTGTTAAAATTTGCGTTTTATGGTCTATATGACAATTGAAATAACAATTTAAATAATTCTACAAATTCTTTGAATTGTCATTCTGTTGTTTATCAAACATTTCCTGAAAGATTTCACGAACCATATTTATTGAGATTATTTCACTTCTTTTGATACTAACGTCGTTTTTTCATTTTTAAAATAACTATTATTTTTCTTATCCAATATAATATTATAATTGTTATATACTTACTGATTTTTGATAGAATGTTTTTAAGTAAAATTTTTTTTAAAAAAAACACACACAAAAAAACAAATCAGCACGCTACGTCACCAAATTTTCTGAAACTTGGCTTAAATGTTTAAAGATCCATGAAATGCAGATAATAATGGTAATTAAAAAAGGGCATTGACAGTTATAGCCATCAATGACATAATATTTCTCTAGACAAAAAATCAATATATGCATTTATTTTGCTTTACTTATTTTGTTAAACATGTTTTATTGAAGGTTTTAAAAAGAAATCATGAGTCTAAAATAAAATAAAAATATTTTTCATAATGATTCGATACAAATAAAAAATCTATTAGAGTTAAGCAATAAAAATGAAGCATGGTTTTTAAAGATAATAATAATAAAAGATCTATTAAAAAAGCTTTATCATGAGTGCTCAACTATTAGCCGTTTTGCCGTAAAAACATATTTATTGAAAACGTATATGGATTCAAAGAAAAGCTTAACTGAAAATTTATGTCAAATTTATGTCTCTAACACTTGATATTTTTTTAGATTGAAAAATGATGGGTTATCTTAATGTTACATCGCATTACATACATAACTATCACTGCCACACACAGCTGTTGGCATGCAATAAGTTCTTAGGTGCTTATACTGGGGATAACATAGCAAAACATTTTGAATCCGTTTGTAAAACATATAAAATACTTGACAACGTCAAGTATTTTATATGTTTTACAAACGGATATTGTGAAAGACAATGCGTCAAACATTCGCAAAGTATTCACTACAAATTTTCCAGAAGAATCCAAAGGTGGTGGTGATACGCCTGCAGAGAAACTTCATGATGACGTAGAAAATAGACCTGTGAGAAGACATTATGGCACTGGACGAAATAATCCAAAATATCAATCAGCTTAACCTAAGACCAGAGGTAACGAGACTAAGTTGTTTTTCTCACACCCTTCAGTTAGCTGTCAGTGATGATCGCAAAAAAAGGCAAGAATTTACTCCGCTTAAGCTAAAGCATCCTAAATATGCACTTTGATTCATACTAGTACAACATTTAAAAAGGCATTTAGTAAATCGTATGGCTCCAAGCTGGGTATTCTTCGAGTAAACGCAACAATATGGAATTCTTTCACATAAAAAAATTGAAAAGAGAAATTGAAAAACCTACTTGATAATTTAAATTACCGCAATCTAATACCAAATAAAAGTGAATACGTGCAACTTAGAGAGCTCGTTGATTTATTGAAACAATTTCTTGAAGCCAGCAAAGTGAACAGTTTTATCAGAAGTTCCCTCTAATGTTGAGTTGTATGTTCACTTGGAAAAATTTAATACAACTTATCTGTCCAGTATGAAACAGCTTATCTGTCCAGTATGAAACAACTTATCTGTCCAGTATGAAACAGCTTATCTGTCCAGTATGAAACAACTTATCTGTCCAGTATGAAACAGCTTATCTGTCCAGTATGAAACAAATTATCTGTCCAGTATGAAACAGGCAAAATAGTCATCAAAAACAACTTTTAAAAAAAAGTTTACGTAAATAAATGAAATACTTCATTAAAATAAAAATATTCTTATTGTGCTTTCATTCTTTTTAAGTCAGTTGTCTTAAAGTTAAAAATTAGTTAAAATTAAATATCTAGTTAAATAAGTATTTTTCAATTGAGTGGATATTTTTTATAATTAATGTCCTAAAGATAGACAATATGTCCTAACTTGATCAGTGTCCTCCTACTTGTATTCTAAACTGTTTAATAAGAGTGATTTCTGACTAGTTGAGATCATTTATCCTCTCGCTCACCCAATTACCAGCTCAAGTCGAGATATAGCGATTTCTTATAGCGAGAATTTACTGTTTATTCTATTGTTGAGCGTCAATTGTTTAACTAGTACGAAGAGTTTTTTTTTAATAATTGTAAATATTTTACTCAAATAGTTAGAATAGGTATGTTTTATTCTTGATTTCATAATTTTATTTATACATAAAGTTTACATTATTATTATTTCATTATTTTATTTCATTTAGAAAATGTAAAAATCAAACAAGAGAGAATGTCATGTCAAAAATCAATTGAAAAACGAATTTGCGCTCCTCATATCAAAGAGAACGTTCATTGCATTTGTAATATTTGCAAAGGAGAATTTTGTTTTGCAGTTGGAGGGTGAACTGCTATAACGAAACGCTTAAATGCCAATAAACATAAGAAACCATAGATGCTTCACCTTCGACTAGTAAAATAACAGATTTTTTTAAAGTTCCTAATTATTTAAGGGTCAAAAAAGTTTAGGTGTAATGGAGAAAATGTTTGAATATCTTACCATAATTCATAATCAAAGCTTTAGAAGTATAGATTGCACAAGTAAATTAGTATAAACATTTCATAACGCTAAATTTTTAAGTGCTGTTAAATGTTAAGCTATTGTAAAATTCACGGCCGACGACACGGGTTTCGAAGTGTGGGGAAGGGGGGGAGCACAATTGTTAATTCTTAAAAAAGTCTTCTATATCTAGAATTTTCTTGGAAAGAAAAAAAAAGGTCCTTTAGAAAAAAAGTGGGGGGGGGGGGTAAGAGATGTTGCCCCTGGCGCCCTCGGTGTTGTCGCCCTCAAATCAGTATTTAAAAATTATTGTGATAAAGTACTTTCAGAAGACTTAAAAAAATGCAAGATTTGTAACAATTTTATCTGATGCCTCAAATCACAATGAAACCAAAATGTATCCGATACTAGTAAGGTATTTTAATGTTACCGAGGGCAATATTTCAAATTTAGAATTTATTGAGTGTGAAACTGCTGACATTTTGTCATAACACCTATACAGGGTTGTAAATGAAAATAATTTGAAACCTAAATTAGTTGCACTAACAGCTGTTAATACAAATACGAAGACGGAAAGGGTTAATTAATGATTGCAATGCACGTATTTTGTCAAACGCAATTAACGCAGCATCATGTGCACTGCCCATTAATGTAGAAATTATAACAATCACAATTTATTTTTATCATACTCGTTTTACTGGCTACTTTAAAACAATTTTACGAAAAAGCAAATGTTAAATTGAAAAAGCTTTTAGGATATTCGTAAGTTTAATAGCTTGCTTTAACACCTGGTATCGAACGTTTTTTAAATTTATTTGAACCCCTCCGTTCAAATTTTAAAAAATTGTCTAAAAATTCTGGGATCTTTTTTTAATAACGAATTATCAGAGATATTTATTTCTTTTGTACACAATCAGGCAACTTTATTTCACAAAACGATACAAAAAAATGAAAGCGATAATAAATCTGCTGCAGAGGTTATTATTATTTTAAACAATTTTATCCTTCAATATAAATCACAACTTAAAAATAATTTCATCCCTTTATTGATAAAAAAAAAATAATCAAATTTAGAAGAACCGAATTCTGGGGTAAGAGATAACTCTACCAAAGAAGTGCAGAATTTTTACCAAACATGCTTCTAATATGTCGAAGAATATTACCCACTGTGTTTTTTGTTATCAAGCTTTAAGGAATTGTAAAAACATCATTTTCTAAAGCACTTATACCAGACGAGTCAGAGACAAGTCATAGTGTTAAAATGTAGTTAAAAAACTCTGCTTGGATACTATAAGCTTTATTTGTGTAAAAGATATCAAAATTTGTCAAATCATTTGTGTCCAAGCTTCGTGGGAGTTCATCCTTTTTATATTTGTACGTGGAATATAATTGTAACTCTTACAAACAGTATCTATCACTAAGTTGAAACAATTGAATGTGTAAACCAATTGGATAAAAACAATTAAAACAAAAGAGTATTTTAACTGTATAAATGAAATTCTTTAATTTAGAAACAACAATTTATCAACAATTATCTCTTACCCCAGAATTCAGTTCTTCTAAATTTGATTATTTTTTTTTTTATCTGGTGAAAGGCCCAATCTTTAAAATAATAAATTAATTTAGCTGGCTTATCCAGAGTTCAAAAATAAGTAAAAAAAAAAAGTGTTACATAAAAAAAGAGCAATTATAGTTTATTTATGCACATGTCAAAAAAGTCAAAGTTATATTTGTTTTAGTATATTTGTTGAAGCGAGTATAGCGAATATACATTTCAACTTTTAAAATTTAATAATTTCAAATAATACCATGAACAGCCAAAACGTTCTTTTTTTTTTGTCCATTCATTGTTTTCTATTTAAATTTATGTTCCTTATTAAACTTATTGTAAAAAACCAGATGAGTTATCTTGATTGCTTTATAATAAAGATGTCGATTGAAAACATTAATAAAGACTTTTAGTTTAAGGACCTTCCTCTACAAAAACTGCTATATTTATCTAAATTTGTTACACAACCATAATACAAATCAAATACAAATCAATAAATTGTGTTTGGTTATTACAAACAAAGGAATATTACTTAATTTTGGATTTTAAAAGTTTGTAGCTCTGTATAATGGTTATATTCTAATGTCCGTTATGTCCGCTAATGGTTATATTCTAATGTCCGTTAATGTCCGCTAGAACCTTTTAAAATTCAAAAAAACGGAGCTAAGAAAATTGAATCGTTATTATAAACTAAAATTACAATTAAAAGTGTAAGGTTTAATTTAAACCTTTCACTTTTAATTCGTTAATATATATTTATTTTACTAATTGTAAATTTATATTTGTTTACTCTCCGTAAGAAAACACAGTGTTGAATAACAACTTTTGATAAATAAACGCAATTTGCGGAAAATCAAAAAAAAAATAAAAATAAATAAATAAACAAAACAGATGAAGATTAGTTGGCTATTTTTTATAAAAGTTTTTAAAATCAAATCAATTTAAAAATATTTATCAGTAGTTAGCAAAAAAACATGTTACCATGTCGTTATCAATTAGAGGTGGTATTTTGTTTCTTTTTGTCGGGATTTTTGCAAGCTGAAGATAGTATTATAGATGATATTGGCGTTGTCAACAACATTGCTCTCTTTAAATCTACGCCATCAGCTTTTATTGATAATGGAATAATTAATGTTAAAGCAAAAGAAACGTTTACAATAAACCTGTTTGGTTTAAACCTCGACTTAATGATGTTATCTTTTACTGAAGTGAAAAAGAAAAAAGGTGAAAATTGCGATGATGATCGTTTTACTTATCCCATTCGCTTGTATTCAACTGATAATAAAATTGTTTCGTTATCTCAACGTTTTGAAGTAAGTTTCAATCAATTTTTTTTCTTATTTCAACAAAGTCATAACAAAAACAACTTTTACAATAGCACAAACTAGGAAAAAAAAATCCCACCGAAAATTGACTTGTTTTTTGAAACGAATTAAACTCTTAACCGAGTTGTTTTTTGAAACGAGTTAAACTCTAATCGAGTTGTTCTTTGAAACGAGTTAAACTCTAATAGAGTTGTTTTTTGAAACGAGTTAAAATCTAATCGAGTTTTGAAACGCCAAGAGTTACTACTACCTGTGGTCACTTGGACATGTTTTCAACGTTTTTTTTTTTGACTTATTTGAAAAAATCTAATTGTTTATTTTTATATATTTGACATCACTGGTATATCTTTTTAATTTGATTAGACGAATAACTTTGACACTACAATTAAGTAGTGTATTTATAATACTCCATAATCAAAGTTGTTAAATTTTATAATTTTAATAGTCGTAAATCAACATTAATTAATTTAATTATTTTGGTTCTTTATTGATAACTTTGTTAGTTATCAATAAATAACCAAAATACAGGTATTATAATTGTCCACGTTGATCTGTGATAAGACCGTGAGGACTTTTTGCGGCACCTAAATAAAATAATAAATAAAAAATTAAATTTTTTTTTCTTCTTTTTAGTCTTTACAATGAGTTACGATTTAATAATAATATTGCAACATAAAAATAACAATGCTACATAACAAGTTAAACTATTGTTATGTAACATTGTTATTTTTATGTTGCAATATTATTATTAAACAGTGTTTAGTAGAGTGTTGACTTTTTTTATAACACCTATGACCTATATTGTTTTTTTATAAACAATAATCTATAATATCATAAAACCATATTCATTTACATTAATTTTTTAAAAAGATCACCCACTCATAAAAAACAAAAAAATACTAATCAATATAACAATGTTGTATTTGCAGTTTATAATGATTTATTATTATTATTATTATTATTATGATTTTATTTTATTTTTTTTATTTTTTTTTACATTCTAATATTACAAAAATAAATTTTAAATTAGATTTTTTAGAGTTTATACATTGAAGCAATTTTTACTGCTTTTACAGCACATAAAATACTGCTTTGTATGTTTGCAATAATTGATGGTTTTTTAGTCCAATGTGTTTTCAGACAAGTTAGAGCTTTCTTGCAATAACCAAATTTCTTGATATCTTCTTCAAGATCACTAAAATCATTTTTATTAAAAATACGTTTCCCAAACCATATTTTGTGCTAGTTTCCACTAACAACTAATTACCACTAACAACAAACTACTTCTAGTTGTTCTCTTGATGAGTGAAACAAGAAGCTCAAAAATGTATAAACTGCTCTTAAATTTCATCTTGCACAGTAAGAGATGGTAATGTATTAGAAAAATTAGTTTTAATAAAATATTTATCTCCATTCTAAAATTTTGCAGTTTAAAGAAGGACCTTTGTTATTAAATGCTACAACAAGATTTTTGTAATTTTCCAGAATGAATTTAATAATGAATAATTAAAAGTCACACAACGAAGACGATTCAGGATATACAGAAATAATGATTTCAAAACTATGTCCAGAACATGATTTAGACATAAAGCATACTGTAAATGAAATCCATGGTCACTAATTTTTTTGTAGTCAAGTCACTATACCATTTTTTTTACCAGTATTAACAGCAATTGTATTTGTTATAATTAAAAGTGAATTATTTACTCCAATCCATAAAAAATTGTTTTTTCTACACCATCTTTTAACACAAGAACAGCTATTTTGCTTGCTTTGTAACAGGTTTCAGTACAACTACAACTTGGTACATCTGCAACAGTACAACTGCTTGGTGTTCATTATAGTCAAAATATTTTCAATCAAAGTAGAATTTTTTCATATAACATATTGAAGTTTTTTGCTTCTTATATAGTTGCTTTATATATTGATGATGCTTTATATATTGTGTGTCTATATATAAAATTCTATAACTTTAAAAATAGATATTGCACAACGCCGCAACTTTTATTGATGATAAATTTGCTGCAGTTGATAGTTTCAAAACTGGTAAGGTTGTGCAACACTTGATGCTCTTCTTTCTGTAGTTATTATTATGTGTTATTATGACATCACTGCTAATATCTGTATCTTCTATAGATGAGTCATTCAAGTTTTCATTTTGGATTTTTCTTATTTTATTTGATGCATAAACTTTTTTTAAGTCAGCAACTTTATTAGGAGAATAACCTGCTCTTCCGTGTGTTTCATTCTGTATATTATAAAACATTTTTTCTTCACTTATTAGCCACGCACCCTTCAAATCAGTAATATCAAACAATTGAGAAAAAGAATTGTTAACTGATTTTTTTGGTTTTCTAAAAGTTTATCATAATCTGCAGTTATATTTTCTACTTTACAATGAACTGATTGCTTCGATAGAGTAAAAAATATTTTCCGCAATTTTCTCAGTTCTAAGTAAATTATTTCAGTTTAATTTTAGCTTTTCTAAACACACAATTGATTTTAATCTTCTAATCACTGTAGCTTTAGATGGCATTCTTTTCTAGTAACATTTTATTATCATTTTCTTGTAACATTGTAAAATCAAATTTTTTCTAGAATCTTCGGCCAATTTTTCTTTTTTTCTTAAAATTTATGACTTTCTAAAAAATAAAGCGTTACTGAAATTATACGACTATATTAAAAAAAAATACTATTTAAAAAATATGTCTTCAAAATGAAATTTAATTACCTTTGATTTGTATGTAAGGTAATATTACTTATATATTTTTATTTTTTGTTGTATGTCAGTCAAGTCTGGTCATCCTGCTACTGGTAACATGTAACCCAGTACAACTTGCTTTGTGTCCTGCGGCCTTGTAGGATACGCTATTTAAGGCAAAGGCTAGGAGAAGTTAACTCCTACTTAAAACACCCCCTGCTTTGGGGCTCTTGATTAAGCTAACGCTAGAGATAGTGTCTCGATAAAAAAAAATCATCTTGGGCAAATATTAAACGGTACCGGCTATTGTCTAATAGAATGCCCACTAGGCAAAGATAAAGGGATAAACAGATTCTATCTGTTGACCAGCCCCCCACCTCTTCTCTATCTATTAAGGTGGCGCAAATGTATTTATAATACATTGTTTCCAGTTTAGGATGTTGAATGCAGGAACTTCTTGACTCAACACATGTGTTTTGCTTGTGTCTCTCTTTTTATGATTAGGCAACTCATTCTACTATCTTCTAATAAAAGTGCGGCTCTAAAACTCAGTTTAATGGTTTCTGAGGCTGCTGGTATTCAGGTTTCCCCAACTCTATGGTAGCACTCAAAGAGGCTGATTCCACCAACAGCTGAAAAGTATCAGATTACTAACAATGTCATGTTGCGCATAGATGGTACTTTTGGTGTATATTGTCGAGGCCACATTTGGAACCCTTTATACGGTTTAGGTTTTATTAATAGTAATGAGGCAATTACTTGGAGTATTAAATAGTGTACTGAATATTATATGTGCTTTGAGTCAAGTTTTTTTACTAACTAAAAATTGCTAAAATACCAAAAACTATTAAACACAAGAAACCATCATAATCACCAAGTTCTGTAAACCTATTATTCACTAATATTCGTGGTCTTCGAATTAACTATTCTTCTTTTGAGTCTTACCTCTTCCAAAGTTCATCGAGCCTACTTGCTTTTTGTGAGACTAATTTGAGTTCGGTTGTTTTATTTTGAGATATTAGTGTTGATGGTTCCTTTAGTTCGTAATCTTCCTTAAATTTGTAAAGACTCCAATAGTATATGACTATTGGCTTGACCTGGGCATCTATATTTTTAAGAATTCACAAATTTGTTGGGAAGCTAGGTTTAAATCCGCGAAATATTCTTTTGTGTGTTTCCGTTTAGCACCACTTCACTATAATGCCTTTTTCTTTGTTCTATGTTGCTCTCCTTCATCTCAAGACAGCACTCTTTCCGATGTTTTTTCTGATCAAATTGAACAAGTCTTCTTTTTCCATCAGTCAATATCGGTGTTGTTAGTGACTTTAATGCTCATCGTACTGGATGACTTAAATCTAGTGTCAGTTACTCTGCAGGTGTTAAGGCTCAAAACTTATATCTTTTTCAATCTCTAACCCAAATAGTCAACTTTCCAACTCGCTCTCCAGAAAATCCGAATCATTTATCTTCTCTACTCGACTTATGACTTTTCTCGGATCCTAGTCAGTGCTCAGTTTCTCCACATTTACCCTTAGGTGCATCTAATCCCGGTTTGATCTCTCTAAAACCTTTATCTCATTCTTCTTCATCATTAGAATCCTCCTATCATAGTGCCTCTTACAACTCACTTAAAGCTGACTGGGACTCTTTGCATGATCTTCTATGTGATGTTCCTTAGAAAGAAATCTTTTGCCTTCCTGCTGACAAGTATTCTTCTTAAATAACTTCTTGGATTCAAAAAATCTCGTATTTCATCTAAAAAATTAGGCTCTCGTGACTTCTGGAGAATCTTTAACAGTATTAATAAAAAGGACACATCTGCTATTCCACCACTCTTTTATGGTTCAGATTTTATCACCTCACTTAAAGACAAAGCTAAACTGTTTGCTAAAAACTTTCATCAATATCATCTCTTGATTCCACTAGTTGCGTTCTACCTGATATAGCCGTCAAACAGGTTAATCTATTGCTTAATATTCGTACCAATCCAGCTTCTGTATCAAAAGTGGTTTCCTATTTCGACTCTTCTACAGCTTGTGGTCCGGACAACATACCTGTTAAAGTCTTGCAGAAGTGTTCTCCGTAGCTGTAGTCTATATTTTTTAAACTAATTAACAAGTGCTTTTCAGAGTCTTGTTTTCCAGCCTGCTGGAAAATCTCTCTACAGAATTTTCAAAAATTCTTTAGAGCGATCTGACTCGTCTAAATGCCATCCCATTAGTTTTTTCCTATGATAAGCAAGGTTTTTGTAACTTTAATTAATGAACTCTTGATTTCTTATCTTAAA